TGCCAGAAGCTGTTAAATACTTAAAATTTCTGATTAATAAATAAGAGTTGTGAAAGTCACTTTAGAGACTTAGAAAAATTTTCCCGAGTGGTTTATTATTCTTTGCATTTTTATGTCAGTCACTGTATACAATCTTTTACTTTTATACCCATTTTTAATTCTATGATGGTTTTTGTTACTATACAAAGCATTCAGATTTCTGTTTTGATAACCCTTTCTTTGTAACAAAATAATTAACATGATTGTCTTTTAAAAAGCTCATTGAGACCGCTAAACATAAAAGAGAAAACGAACTAATAGCCAGGAGAGAGAAACTGATTTTGGAAATAGAAAAGGAATCGCGCCGCATGGAAGAATTTACAGAATTTGCAGAGCTGGAACGCATGCACCAGGTCTGATAAATACATAAGGCAGTAACTATGGCAGTCCCATAGATTTAATACAGGAAATATTTGCATAATTAAAAAAAAATACAGAGTAACTTATCTTACAATGGCAGATGGGGGCCTGACTCTTAGGCCTGGCATTGGTACTGTCTGTGTGATCTTTTTGTGACTTAGCTTCTATTTGTAAAGTAGCCATAACTACACCTTTTGTTCTCTATGTTGCATTAATATTGTAAAGTTAATATTTAGAGCTGCTGTTTAAATGCAAGGGCATATCCTATGCAGTATCATTTAATCTTATTTTGATAACATTACTTGAATATTTCTTGAGATAAAAAACTATTTGCTTTCAGTATGTGGCAGATGTAAGACAACTGCAAAAACGTATTCAGGAGTCTGAGGAAGCAGTTCAGTTTATTAATAAAGAAGAGGAACTTTTCAAGTGGGAATTGACAAAATATCCTGAACTGGATAAATTGAAAGTTAACATTGAGCCCTATCAAAAGTTTTTTAATTTTGTTTTGAAGTGGCAACGAACAGAAAAACGGTAATTTATGTTTCTGGTAATGTAATAAAAATTAAGCAAGTGATATAAAAGGTTTATAAATTGATTTTATTTTCTTGTGTGTTTAAAATAGGAGTTAATCCACCCATTTTAAAGTGAACCAAGTATCATATGGGAGAAGCATCAAATACTGCTAAAGTACTACCTAACTTTACTAATGTCTGAAGTCTCATTTGGGTTTTCCAGAATCAATTCACTTTTTAATGCAATTAATTAGTTTAGTTGACTAATGTTTACACAAAATTAGAAATGTGCAAATTTGCATTTTATTTGGATACCTTTAATCAGTCTCCCATGTATAAATCTGATGCACATTTACCACATGCAGCATAGCTGAAATGATGGTTTTAGTTCTGTCTCTGTACCATCAGCTTTACCTCTGTGGCTCTGAGAAAAACCGTTAACTGCTCATGCCCTTGGTTGTTTCCTGCTCAAAGAATCTCTAAGACTCCTTTAAACTTCAAAAGTCTCTGAGTTCAGTGCTATTTTTAAACCTTTCATTTCAGGTGGATGGATGGAGGTTTTTTAGACCTCAATGGGGAAAGTATGGAAGCTGATGTAGATGAGTTTTCCCGAGAAATTTTTAAGACACTGAAATTTTTCCAAACAAAACAAAAGAAAGAATTACAAGAAAAAAGAAAGACAGCAAAGAGACGATCTCTGGTAGAAGAGAAGCCGGAAGAAGAGTCAAAGGAGAGTCCTGCTATTACTATGTGCTCTGCAGTAATGGGGCAGATAAAAACCTTTAAGGTGCGAAAATATTTAATCACATTTTAATATTATAAACATCGTTTCAACTTTCTATTGACTATTATATCAAAAATAAAATCCATCCTCTGATCTTCTTTTTGTATATAACAGTCTAATTGT